GCCTATCTTGGCGCGCGCGGACGTAAGCAAAGACCGCGGGTATATTCGCCTGGATATCACTCGCGATTTTTCACGACGCGTATATAGCGCGTGCGTTCTCCACTCCGCTTTTTCCACGTCGCCGCGCGACGTCCCGGAGGTGGAGGCGTGAGAACCGGGTTTCCGGGATACGCCGCTGGGTATCTTGGAATACACTCTCAACGCTTGACCTCCTCAGTAGGTATCATATAATATGTGTATGCCACGAGGAAGCTGGAACATCTGTTTCCCTCTCTTTCTCTATAGTTTGATTTGTAAGGATCAAATTAACAATATATTACGTGTCTAATTTGAATACTTACGCTGAAATTATTATTGTTACATAGAAAGGACGGTTTTGCTGTATCTAAAAATTTAATTAGATACAGATCTGAAAATAATTTTTTTAAACCATCAAAATAATTATGTAGAACATTCAAACTGATCGCTGAAATGTCAAAATTTTTTACAGCGTTATCATCATACTTCAGCGACCTACTATAATTATTTTGATCGTGCAACATAATTATTTTCAAATCTGTATCTAGTTAAATTTTTAAATACTTCAGCAAAACCGTTCTTTCCGTGTAATAATATTTCTGTTTTATAGTTTGAAACTGTTATTCGACATGTCGTATTACACTTAAATAAGTTATTGCTATTAACGCGCCTTATTATTATTTATCTCGCCTACTTTATGTCTCGTGTATCACGATCGGCTCAAATCGTGTTACAAAACAGATGCACGCGTTCGTACGGATGTGCGTATACCAATGGTCGCTCGGTATGCAATAATCCAGTGCATATAATGCGCTAATGCGACAGGTCTGCCGATAGAACTCCCAGCGTAACGCTAATTAAGCCCGGAGTTCGGAGGATACAATTATGTGATTCTTAAATGGAAACTTGGCGTGGTGTGGTAATTTCGCGTCTTGAGTTTCTTGATATATCCTATTACGTCGAGCTATGTCGGTCGCGCAAGGCGAGAGTCACGCAACTTTTTTTTCTCCGAATCACCGAAAGGCACGTCGGTATAGCGATGATGAATCTCCTCTTTCGCTAGGTAATTCATTCGTATTCAAGATAATTCACTCCCGTTTTCTCCCACAATAATTGCTCCCGTACTTGGAAATATTAATATTGATACTCTTTGTCGTAATTAAAAAGAAACTCCTAGACATTAATGGTCTATACTCTACGTGGTTTCCACAACGTCAAGCGGAGGTGACAGCCGGTCGGAGCTTTCTATTTATGTTCTCATCGACAGACTGACGTAAGAATTCATCATACTTTGGGACTACCAGCGATAGCCGATGTAGTCATTGATAACCGGCTCGTTTCTCGTTTAAGATCTCAATGGCCATCTCCGGCGAGATCAACGACGGCGTGGACGTAGATTTGTCTTTATTTGGACTTCCATTAGGCCGAGACGTTATTTGATCGTTCCCGTTACACGTTTTACGAGAATGGTCTCCGCGCGCGAGAAGTACTTTCTAGACACTCGACTCCGCGGCTCCGGACTCCGGCGGCTGGTCTTCGCCGCCGAGAAGGTCGACGATACATCAAAGGATACGCAGAACGAGCGCGCGCATACGGTGTCACGCGAAGAATGAATTTGCTCATTGGATATGAAAGTTTGTTTTCTTAACAACCCCCTACGGCCTGGTGCGTTATTCATCGACAAGTATCGTACGAAGGGGAAAAAAGGAGTGTAAAAAAATTTTGGAGAAAGACGGCGCGGTGAGATTTATCGAAGAGATTTTGCGCTTCGACAAATTGTCGGACAAGTTGTCTAGCAGGAAATTAATGACGCGGCTATTTCAGTAGGCGCAGGATAATAAAGCGGCGCGGAACTCGTTTCGGTGTATATGTAAGGCGCTTTAAAAAAATATATATATAAGGCGATGTCTATTTAGAGAGGGCTATGAATATAGCATTCCAGGCTAGGAAAAGTGACGATAAAACGAGGCGAGCTCGGAATGCATTATCTTCAACAACACTTTTAACGTATTTGATGCGCAGTTATCGTTCGATTTAACCGAACGTGTAATCCTACTTGTAACTTATGGAGTTACGGGGCGCGTAATTAAGTTACGGTATCCGTCGTTTCGCATGGCGATTTGTATGTTTCTCTCCGTAAACGTGTTAATCTCGCGGGAAATTACCTTGTCTTTACGAGCGATCGAATGGGGGATCGACCGCGAGGAGAATAGCCGCGTTAACGCGGATCGCATTCTTCCTATTTCCGACGAGACGTCGTCGCCGCCTTGCCCGTTCTTGTCGGTCGGCGCGGCGGACCGATCGACGGCCGTGATTACTATAATTACGATTATAATAGACGAGATCGGGGGAATCCAGGTCGCTCGTGACTCGCGCGCTATGAGGAATCAAAGAGAGACATTCTGCTTTCCAGCGGTAGAAGCTCCGGCGGGAAAAGCGCGGACAGGAAAATTAAACGAGCGAGCGCTAATTAATGTCGTCAGTGCCGCGTGCGTCGGTCCCACGCGATCCGATTGGCGATCCGCGGTTCAGGTTCAGGGATGCAACGGCGTGCATCGGCACGGCGCGACGACGTGGCGCGATGCGGATGCGGGCGCGGGTGCGTCGTGGTGCAGTCACAATTGGCGAGACATTAATGAGAGCCCGTCGCGATCCGACGACGCGCGCGGCGAATGAGTCATACGGCAGGAAGTCCTTTTTCCGCGATACGGCACGGTCGAACACCTTCCGCCCGACGAACTGGTACAAGGTGAAATCGTGTGCTTCGATTCGCGGCACGAAGGAGGTCTGATGGCTCGCGAGAAGGATTCCTTCTTCCCTCTCTCTCTCTCTCTCCCTCTCTCGAATTCCGTTTCGTTTTGGAAAAATTTCTTTTGCATCGGAACTGATCGTCTACCTTCTCCAGATAGGCAGATAGGATAAACTATTTGCCAACGTACGTTGCGAAAATTGCCCCATTGTATCGGTGAGAATGAGATACTCCGAGATACGATGGATAAAAGTGCGCCAGACAACCGCGCGCTCAAAGAGCGGATGGCACGACAGACAGCGCGAACGAACAACAACGCGAGAAAGATTAGACGCTATTAAATCTTATTCTCCTTCCTATCTGAGCGAATCTTTTTTTTTTCTTTTCTCGATATATATCCCCGCGGGATATCATCAGTGCGTCGCGATCGCGTGAGAGAGGTCGCCATTTCACAGGGGATTATTCAATGTCGTCTATTACCAGCATACAGAAGACCGTGTACCACTAACTACCCAATTATCTTCCGATTAAAAAATAATGCGATAGTTGCGGTACACCGGCGTGTCCCGTACGCTCGTCACGCATCATAAAGTATCTTATCTACGTTATCAGACATCTATCGATGTCAGGAGGTGAACTTTAGCTACCATTAACCATGCGGGACTTTCCAATAAAACGATTCGATGTTCATCGCTATCGGAAAACAGATAAATGGGACGTAAGACAATATCAGTAAACTAAACCTCGAGATGCCTGCTGCATCTTTCCGCATTGTATAATTTAATTAAATCTAATTTCAATTTAATCTCATCAACGTGATATAATTCTATACACATTTTTTATTATTTTTTCTAAAAAAAGAAGAATATGTATAGTTTTAGAAAATTGATTTGCTCGTTGTTTTTCAACACTTTAAATAACTTGACTCGTAAAGCAAGGCTCATCTGCCACAATCTCTACTGCTTCCATATCCGGATGTACTGCGGCACATTTGGCCGCTCGGAGCTGTCTGGCAATTAAGGTCAGATCGAATTCACGTACACGGACCGCCGAATCGATGAAGCTATCTTGCGTCTCTGGCTCGGCTCCAGAGAAAGAGCTGCGACAATGCGCAGCGCAGGGCGACCATCCCTTTTTCTTATTACCCGACGTTTCGCCTCTCACGAGCGATGGTGGATTTTCATGAGTAAGGGTGTTCCACCCTTCAGCTATGGGCGGCTAGGCTAAATCAATTAGATACCCCGAGGTGGGAAGTGTTGATACAATATAGAAATACGTGACGTTGCCTTCTGGCCTTTAGAAGATGAAAGACGATGACGTTAACAGGATTTCTCAACTGTCCTTACGTATTACCTAATATGAGTTTTTAGAAAAATATAGCCTGCATTTTATCTTTTTCTGAAATAAAATATGAGTCAATAATACAACAATGTACACAATGCCATGTATTAATGATACAAGATGTAATTAATTATAAAAGAAAATAATTTTTTGCATTGAATGAAAGCCCATACTATATAGTGAATTTTTGATTAGACACGTAATTCGCGTTTGGCCAAATTTGGATCGAGCGTAAATCTACGATGGGTCGAGAACCACTGATCCTAGATTTTCCGCGTGTATCCTGCGAGCGGGGTTCGCCTGCAACGCACGCTCAATAAAAAGCAGCTGTATGCGTCACGGACACACGCGTGTGTAAAGGAGGTTTCGCGCAGAGAGTCTCTCACGTCGTCTGTAACTTTCGTGAACTCGTATAATAGTGCGATGAACTCGCCGCCGCTTTATCTCTCTCCATGGTACGACGATAAGAATAATTGGACGTAAGACAGCACGGCAGATGAGAGACGGAGGTCTCCGTTGCGTAAAATTGCAGGTCATTCGCAGTCCTCCGCGCTATCAACCGTGTCTATACAGTTTTCGGTTATGTAACTACGGTATAAAATCGTCCGGGCGCCTTTTTTTTATGTAACTCTGTTCTATGGAACGAATGGAACTGCAGACGCCTCTCGTTTTAACTTTTTATACTTTTTGATTAATCTAATAATCAGTTTCTCACCTCCTTCATTACGTTCGTATTCATCAGTTCTGTTCTGAGACAGAATTAATTAGGAATATATTATTTATTATAATATATATTATTTAAGCAGATCAATTTTGATCTAATGTATCGATCGATTAATCCTGACGGTCTACTCCAGATCAAAATGCTGAATATATATTTTTCTTGTTACAGATTTCGTAATGCCACCGCCCTATCATCAACATCGTTAGGTGGTGGACCCTCGCAATGTCCTCGATCTTAGGAGACGGAACGGGCCCTGGAGGTCCCGGGCCCTCCCGATGCCTCTTGCTCCTGCAGAGGTCCCTGGCGATTCAATTGATCCGAGGTTCGCCTCCTCACGTCGCAAACGCCGGCCAACGGGAAAGTCCAAAGGAACATCCAGCCGACGAGATGTGGATGTACGACAAGGGCTACAATCTATTTCAGGTGAGTTATCTTCGCGTTATCTTCGTTTCCGTTGATTTTCGGTTGCGTAAACGTCATTGGTATCTTTTTGTCGCGTCACGTACCCGCGGCGAGTTTTTGATAATACGTGATGCCTTTAGTCTCTCGACAAACAGCATTGCCCGTCTTTTCTGTTCATGGGTCTTTTTGCTCGTCGGCGCCGGAAAAGTTCAACGGAAGCGAGAATGTTGGAGCGCCGTTGCGATGAGAGGCACCTCTCCGACTCTCCATGCTCTCCGCTTTGTTCCTTCTTCTCGTCGACCCGCGGCGCGCGCGGGTCCTTTACGGTAAAGCGAACGTTGATTGCCCGCACCGTTACGCCACAATGAGACAATGTGAATTACGAGCAATTTCGCAAAAGTCGGCATAATCGAGGAGCGGCAGGATAAACGGCGGAAGCTCGTTCTCGCGGCCGGCGTGTTGCGCCGACGTCGTCCGGCCCTCTTCGATAATAAATTTCGCGTTTTACGTCCAGAATTCCTTCCACGGATGAAATAAACGGCGGCGAAACGAGAGACGCGCCGCCGGGCGACGGCGGCAGCGGCGGCGGCGCCGTGCGCGTCGTAATGCAGCTCGTCTCGAATTTATCGCCACCAATGCGTAACACGTAACCACTGAATATTCAACAGCGGTCTACTGTCTGGTCAGGAAAATCGTATTAAAGCTCGTGCCGATATGGCCGATCACGTGAGGGAAGCGCGTAATAACATCGGTAATAAGCGATGTTATGAATTACTCATCACGGGAGATAAAAATAAAAAAATTAGTAATTAATAGATAAGTAATGAAGTAAAATAAGAAGTTGAAGTGAATAATAAATAATAAATGTGTAAGTAATAATTGCGTGTGTTACAAATTGTTTAATAGATAGAGATATAATCCGGTCGGAAAAATTAATACATTTCTTCACATATTTTTAGGCATAGTCACAAAAATTGGGCAAAGGTTATTGGTGAC